CTTACCACCCGTTCGAGATCTGTCCTGGCGGAGTGGATGGAAGATGATTGGATCAGGATGTCGTCCAGATAACACTGGACCCTGACAGGTACCATCCTTAAGTGAGCTGCTAGGACCGCCAGGATCTTGGTAAACACCCTGGGAGCCGATGAAAGACCGAAGGGAAGGCCTTGTACTGATAGTGCCGGCCCTTGTATACGAACCGTAGGAACCTCCGGTGGGCGAGAGAAATGGGGACATGGAGGTATGCTTCCATGAGGTCGATAGACGTCAGGAAGTCCCCCTTTCTTACGCTTCCTAAGATGGATCTGAGCGTTTGCATCTTGAATTTGCGATATACAAGATGATAATTCAAGGCCTTTAGGTCTAAAATGGCCCTCCATCCCCCTGATGCTTTTGGCACGACAAAGAGTATGGAGTAAAATCCCCGACCTATCTGGTCCTCCGGAACGGATTCTATGGCTCGTATGTCCAGCAGATGCTGGATGGCTTCGCCCATCAGTGCCCTCTTGGCCTGATTTCGAGGGTATGGACAAGAAATGAATCTGGTCGGGGGTTCTGAGATGAACTCTAGGTAAAGGCCGGAATTTATCGTTTTGAGGACCCATGCGTCCGTGGTGGTAGCCTCCCATTGGTGGGCGAACAGAGACAGTCTGCCCCCTATGGGAGGGACCGTCAGGGAGTCACCTGGAGCAGCGGAATGGCCGGCCGCTCCCTCGAAAGGGCTGCTTACCCTGAAACTGTTGTCTGGGTTTGGTTGCCTGCCGGTCGTACTGCTTGTCCTGTCTGTCCTGTCTGGCCGGAAAGGGGCGGAAAGGCTGTGAGTAATTATACCTGTTCCCTGCCCGAAAGGATTGCCGACGGGAAAAATAATTCTGACGCTTCTCTGGTTTCTTGAGAATATGGGCAAGGACCTTACGCTTATCCTTATTCTCGGTGAGGTAGGGGTTCAAAGCCTCACCAAACAGTTTTCCCCCTTGGTACGGGGCTGCTGCCAGACGCCACTTGGACTTAGCATCCGCGTGCCAATGTTTGAGCCAAAGCATGCGGCGTCCCGAGATGCTGGATGCCAAGGCCTTGGAGGCAAACTTGGAGGCCTGGAGAGTTGCATCTGATGCGTACTCCAGGGCCGCCACCATCTTGCTAAGTTCCTGTTGTGACCAAATGTCATCTTCTGGGGTACGGGCTTGGAGCTGTTTAAGCCAGCGATGGGCAGCCCTGTTAAAAAAGGATGCCGAGGTGGCCGCTCTAATTGCCCAAGCAGTCGCCTGGTGAGTCTTACGAAAGGCTAGCTCACACTTACGGTCATCCGCCTTGAGGGCATCAGCAACATCCCCAGCTATAGCGGTAGGGGACACTAAGGGTCCGAAGGGCTCATCCACAGCAGGCACCTCTAGAGCCTCCTCCAGGTCTTTGGCCACATTGTAAAGCTTTTTGTCCGTGGCATTTGGGAGAGGAAGGGAGGACGGAGACGCCCATTGTTTCCGGACAGCGGTCAGAAACATGGGGGGATAAGGAATCCGGTGTTGTGTTGCCACTGGCTCAGTAAAGTTAGGATCGAATTCTGAGTCAGGGGAAACCATGGCAGTTGACGAGGAAGGTTCAGCCCCGGGTTGTGCTGTGGATGAGACCTTGCGGAGTAAGGTCACAAAGGAGGAAGGGTTAAACATACCACTAAATGAAGGAGCCTGAGTAGAGGATTCCTCCTCATCAGACATAGGGAACTCCTGCTCGTTGTCCTGGACCTGAATTGACAATCCCTCAGAATATGAGGATCCAGAAGGTGAGGAGGGTGCATACTGAGTTTCAGGCCCTTGGTCAATAATGGGCAGAGGATCACTAGTGATCTGTCTAGGAGGTACGGCCCTTGCGTTAAGAGCGTGGTCAACCGCCTGCGCAATTAATAGGGCCAGTCGCTCCTCTGAAAGAAAGGAATGGGGCTCAACTGGTCGAAGCCCAGCTGCCGTGGGGGTAAAAGTAGCTTCTGGAGTCCCATGGTGTGATGCTTGGGGCATGTGGACATAAGACGGACCCTCAGTTGGGGGATTATCCATCCTAGCAATTTTTTGCGCCCTAGAGAATTCTTTTTCTAAGGCTTGGTGTCTCCTGTTAGCCTGCTTCTCTGCCCTCTTGGAGGTTTTGCTAGTGGACCTGACCTTATTTTTGGATGAGGTCTTGTCAGATTCCTCCATTGGAAGTTGGACAGAAGTTGCGGGGACCGCTGAAGAGGGGACAATACCCCTAGAGGGAGGGTCAGTAGTCTCCATTCTCCGATAACACAGGGACTCGTGGGGACACACCCCTCCGGTATCAAGAGAAAATTAGTCAACGGGAAGGACAGGCGCACTATCGGGTACGTTTGGAAACCCGGACACAACTGTAAGAGCAGCTGACTTTCTTATGCGGACAGGACAGACACACAAATGGGTATGCCTGGAATCCGCTCTGCTCAGAAGAGGATAATTGTAGGTGCTCTTTGGGAACACCTAGAATCCCAGTGAGTGTGAGTGTGGACAAAAGTAGCAGGAGCACTAAGGGTACCCCCGCGTCCACTGATAATAAGGCTGTCGCCCAAGATATAACTGGAGACACCAAGTCTGAGGAGGAGAATATCTAGGTCTCGGCCAGGTATGGCTGTGACCCTTGATTGTAAGATAAGGCCTTGTTATCGGGGGCTGTTGCAATTGTTCAGGTCTGGAATTCCCTCTGATGAGCTATCAATGGGCGGGGCTGTCAACCATGGGCCCGATCAGTGTTCAAAATGGCGGCCCGATCCTAAAATGGCGGTCCGCTGACAAACGGGGAATTGATAATTTAAAATTGCCCCCTAAGTTTTCAAACACCCCAAATGAAATGTAGTTAAGGAACAAATAATGGGAATCCCCCTTTTTTTAGAATATTTGACCAAAAAAACGAACGCCTTTTCCTCACCGCGCGGTCCAAAATGGCGGCCGCGCACGAAGACGTTCGAATTTAGCAATTTCCTGAGGGAAATAGGCCCAGAGGAAAATGAGAGCTTCGGCCTGAAAACGGCTGATCAGCGTTGGCCGTTTGCCGCTCGTCCGTGCTGGCAAGCAGCGAAAACTAGAGGAGGGCAAACTGACCGACGGCCGTCTCTCTGGCCTCCGATCAGCCCTCTAATCACTGATCGGCAACGGCTGTAGTCGCGCGCACGCGCGCTTCTCCGGACAAAGTTTGCAATCGAAGCCAAGAGCCTTCGAGACGCGATTTGCGGCTGCCGCCGCTCCTGAGTGAGTCTGCCAACGAGCTTCGCTTGCTTAAAATCAAGCCTCGCTTGCTCGAAGCAGTCCTTGCTTTCCCCAAAGTAAGACTCAGTCACTGGTAGTCACCGGGCCGCCTCCGCGAGCTCCGGTGAAAGAAATCCAGTAACTATGGGGTTCGTTGCTGGCAGAGAGAGAAGATAGAAGGATCCCCTTCTACCTTGTGATGATTTTACTCCCTAATTGAAGTCTGGAAGGCAATACATTTTTGAAAACCAGATCCAGCAGCTGTAAGTTGCTACTGGAAGGGGGGAAAAGGAGAAGGAGCCCCTTCAACCCTGCTAATGTATTATTCTCCCCCCAACTGCTGGCTGACAGAAGTGACAAATTTTTCTTACAGCCAAGCTAACTGTGTCAATTTGGAAAGGGCCAAATTATGAACTGAAAATAGCTCAAGAGCAAAAAAAGGTGGAGGATTCACCAATGGTCTGACTATACCTGCCTAAGAGCCAAAGCTGTACGTTCCGTCCACGGGCAAGATCAAGTCAAGACTGGGATCTGGAAACCAGGACGGGGCGTGACAACTTTGGCTGACTTGATCTGATTGGGCAGGAATACAGTCTCAATCCATTCTGTGGATCCTCCATCTCCAGTGCTGGAGAATATCCAACAGTACTCATCAACTAGTCCAGAAACTGAGATCTTGCTGGCCACTATTCTACAGCCCCACAGATTATTTCAATAAATTTAGTATACACTCATTGATTTTTGGTAGGGAAATGTTCTATTTATTTTTTAAATAATAACAAAAATAAGCTTTGTAAGCTTCTAGAGTGTTAGTAGTGGTAGCACCTAGCCAAATACATCTGATCTTGGAGAGATAAGCAGGATCAGACCTGATTAATACCAGGAATCCAAGGCTGGATTGTAGTTTGAGAAAAAAAAAAATGCAATGGCAAACTCCATATGGATTGTTACGAAGAAATGTATATTCTTATCCTAAGAATAAAATTTTACTCAAGGGACATTTTTAAAACTTTCCAGTTGTCTTAACAAACCTGCTTTATTAAAAACAAGATAAAACTCCAATCCCTTTAAAAATATGAAAATCCATTTCTTTCTGTGACTTGTCACCACCTTGCTCTTCTGCAATTCCTTGGAAGCAAAACAGTATTTTTGTCCATACACTAAAGCTACCCTTAGTAGCTTTCTGATATGTAGACAGATTTTTTTTGTAGCTTGGTTACAAGCTCTGGTGGGAACTTTTATCTATTTAAAATTCTCCCAATGAAAGATACCTCACTCGAGATTAGTTAGTAATATCTTATCATGAAGCATAAACAATTTAGTATCGCATCTGCCTTGGAAATGGATTATGATTGGTTGATGATCGTTATCCTCCTTCATACGGGCTTGGATACCTGAAAAGAAGCCCAATCTTTTTTCATGCAACATTTAAACAATCTAAAACACTATAGTGTTTCCTAAATGGTATATAAAACCAGGTTCTTTACCTCCTAAAATGTAGAGGTTATATTTATAGATCAAGGAGTCCAGTTGGGAGTCTGCTACATTTCTTTTGAGGACTCTAAAGAGCCATGGTGGATCATATATAAGAGGCTTTAGTAACCAAGGAAAAAAGGAAATTACCAACTGGATGGATTTCCTCTATATTCCTTTATGAGAAGAAATATGTTTATGTAATGCCGCATGTAACCTTTTGTTCTCCATTCAATATACTGATCACTTCAGTTTAAAAGTGAAAAAACAAATACATACCTATACTAGAAGTATAATCTGTGGCTCCAAAAATTAACTCTGGTGCTCTATAATATCGAGAGCAGATGTAAGAGACATTAGGCTCTCCACGAACTAGCTGCTTTGCACTGTAAATGGAATGATAATATAAAACTTAGTGTTCAATATTCAAAATATATAATTTTCAATAAAATAATATTTAAAGGAGTATACATGCTTCCTCTAAAATTTAAAAAAGCAGAAATGGCATTTATCATAAATGCAAGTATTAAGATAAATATAAAAATGCAAATGTATTTAGCATTAATACTTAAGATTTATGATAGATAAACCATTTTATAATTCAATGTTAATGAGCCAGATTCTCTAGTTAAATGAAATTTAGTGCAAACAGGAAAAAGCAACATGAACTATGTCCGCAGATAACATCAAAAATTCAGAAATATTTTTTTCAAATCTCCCTGGATAAAATATAAATTCTTAATACAAAATCTAACTCTTCAAATATTAGTAGCACAAATCTATCACTTTTCCAGGAAATATTTGTTAATTGATCCCAAAGGATCAGACATATTTATTTTTTAAAAAAATTTAAAAGGTAAAGAGTAAGCATAAAGACCCTGCTGAAGATTTATATACTGAATAATCCAATTAATTTTTTAATCAATGAACAAAATAAACAAAAATATTATCCTAAAAGAAAACAAGGATATATTTCATATTTATAATAAATTTTAAAATGTATGATTTCTTTTGAAGTGTTAAGGTCAGGGAAGGCTTTGGGGGAACAGCATGATCCAGGAAGGGTGTGCAGGGGTTCTTTCCTCTCTGTCCCTCCCTTCTTTCCCCCTTCTCTTCTCCTTCCAGCAGACAGGTAAGTTGCTGCTGCTGGGTGGGGGAGAGAGTGAGGGATTGGCTGGGAAATTGATTGTTGAAAATGATCGCAGCAGCAGCCTATAGCACTGAAGCAGGGCTAGCTTTCCCACATTTCATTCCCTTGGAAGTCATGAGTCCTGGATTTTTGCATACATTCTATAAATTAGCCAATTTGAGGTACCCTAGTTAAAAACATTGTTACCCTCTGATGCATCATTTCACCTAGTTAAAGGACATGACAAGAGTTTTTATGGTATACAGATATCACCAACCAATACAAGTCTGCCATTCTGGTTTTGTGCCATTTGCTGCAAATTCCAATCCTCATACAGAAATAAATACAACAGACATAAATACAACAACTAGCCCCATCAATTGCAAATAAATTAAGGAAATTCAAAACTCCAAGTATCCTGTTCACTCAACTCAAAACAAAATATCTGGAATTCTTTCAAATATATCTAAAATATATTTATATGACTTAAATATCAAGTCTTTGTTCCCCAATGTAAAACACAAATATTCTGCTAAGTCACTTCAGAAAAGAACAAAACTACTTCTAGACATCGACTCCTAAGATAAGCTAGTTTTGAGTACAGCTAACAAAGATCTGCCCAAGGACCACTTAAGTCTTCTAATGCCTAAGGTATCATCCTCAAAGAAACTTTGGTAAAAAAAATTCCTCTAGACATGTAACTAAGATTGAAAAAGACAGTTATCTGTTACAAATTGGAGTTGGGTGGCCAATAAATGTAAACAAATAAACAAAATAAGAGAATCTAAAATTAAGCATTAATACTGCATTGCTTAAAACAGCCCCAACTGTCAACACCAGCTCTTGTGCCTCATGAAACAATGCTTGACTCGCATGCAATCTGTATCCACATAACTAAACCGGGTCTCCCCATCACTTCCACCTTCCCTGATTACAATAGTAGTTAAGCCAGCTCCCTGCCATTTTATGGAACCAATTCTACCTCATTCTTATCCAAGTCTGCTTGATCTGCCATCCAGCCTATCTTACTTACTCTCCTGAACTATGAGATATTGTCCCTCAAACAGCTCCTGTGGAAGTGGCAAAGCATATTATTTTCTGGCCATAGTGCCTTTGCATTCCAGACCACTGTTCAGCAGAATTCAGCCAAGAGATGATTTCTCTGTAACTCAAATAGCCCATTCCAACTTTTACAACTCGTACATATCAGCATTAGACATCAACTCAAATTGATTGCCAGACTGAATCTTATGCCCTATTCTGGGCTACTCCAGGAGCCCTTCTCAATCAGATGAGTTTTGATTTCTAACCACAGTCTACATTTGGAATATATTCAGTTGTCATTCCAAACAAAATGTCCCTATTTTTACGGCTCTACAGCATCTTCCTTCAGGAAACATGAGAACCAAGTTGATGACTTGGCTAGCTTATTTCCCTTCTCACTATCTGCACACCAAGTCTGAAATGTATTAAGAAACATAACTTTCTCAATTTCATCCACACTTCAAGCAACTACATCCAGTCCAATAATGTATACCTTTCTGTTTTTACTGTTTACTGCCTTGGAATTAAAATGAAAAAAAGAAAAAGAAATGATACAGTAATAAAATAAATACTCTGCATATACATTAACTTTGGATAAGTTTAATTTTATGCTACTTAATAAAAAGGTACCTACAGATGTAGATAAAAAATAAGATTTTTAATTGTCCTGATTTTATTATATACCAAGGAATAATTATTTATAGGTATTTTATTATATCTGCCATAGAGAAGGGCAGAAGGCAATATGTTATCTCTCACTCTAAGGAATTCTTTCTAAATGAATTGCAGATTTTCAGGAGTTTATGGTGATGACCATCCAGGTGATATACATGAAAAACCATGTCCATATGATTCTGCAATTAATACAGAGAATTCTAAAAGTAACATATAACATCAATCCTCCAAAGATTTCCAAGCAAAACAGGCAAGTTCTATACTATAATTATCAATCATATTGATTAATCAAATACTTTATTATGGTCAATGACCAAATATAGGTATGATTCAGTTACAATATTACAGGGGGAAAGGGGAATGGGATAAAGGTAGCTGAAAAATTATACAAAGCAGAAGGGAAATAGTAGGTAACAACTGGAGTACCGGAGCATATTTAAATTATGAGACAGCAAAAGCTGTAATCAATGTTTAACTATTAAATAGTTCTGAAGCTAAATTGGTACATAAATTCTAGTGGAGTATTAAAATATTAAAATACTTAATTAAAAATATAGTGATAGAATGTAAAATGTATAATAATAAAATTCTATCTTGAATATTTTGGGCATAATTGATGCTTACTTAATGCCTACTTGGTTGTGTATTATAATCGGACTATATAGCTTATAGTATTGGAGGAGAGAAAGAGAAAAGAAAGAAAAATAAAATAATCCAAGGATGCTGAGCTATCAAGCTGACTGAAGTTAACTGTTACCTAGTTTTAACTGCTGCAATGCTACGGTGTGGGTGATGTCACAATATTAGTCTGATATAGAAACCATTCATTCTCCCCAACATAATTATTGGACACAATCAAGATATAACAAGGAGAGGTTCCACCTATTACCGGATGCTGGGGAAGATGTATCAACTGACCCCCACATGTGGATTTCCCCACTTTGATATGTTGTGGTGGAAGAATCTAGAGACTTTGGGTAGATTGGCTCTGGAGGAGAAAATCCAATGAACAGTCTGGATCTAAGCACCACAGAGTTTTATAGGTAATGATCAGCCCCTTGTATTTGCTTTCGTCTGCCTGCATACAGGTTTCCACAGTTTGCACCAGTTGAAAATTTCATTTTACACATTTATCCATATTTTACTTTTTTAAGAGAAAATATCTCTAAGAACATGCTGATTATCCTATGAAAAAATGCAAAAAGAAATGCTATCTTTTTTGCATAAGAAATAGCAGTTATGCGCTGAACATCTCTGATAATTAACAATCCAGAATAAGCCTACAACATAAAAGTTTCCTCTATTCTGTCGTTCAGAATTAATTTAATCCAGAAGGTGACATGGTTTATGCTGCTTTTCAATATTTAATCCAGGCATTCCAAACACCATGAATGGGGCCATGAATTATAAATCTCTTGACATCTGCTGGGAGCCATACTCTCCCAAACACATAGCTTTGAATCATAGAATACGACATTGGGAAGGCTCCATGGAATTCATCTGGTCTGCCATGAAACCCTCAAAATCATCTGGAGTGTCTGCAAGCAACTTGTCCCTTCCAACTTTCTCTAAAGAACCAGGTAATATTGAATTGTCTGTTGAACAGGACTCTTCAGGCTCACTAAGTGCAGAAAAGACAATGGTTTGCCACCATATGGGGTCTAGGATGAGCTTTTACCAGTGCTCAGTCAAATTCTCTTTGGGTGTTCTGCCAAGGCATTCTAAACCAACCACTTTTCAATGGCATTACCTCTTCACTTCCTCAGAAAACCAGATCAGCCTATTATTTTGCTAAATAAGTGCTGTCTTGTTGTAAACCTATATGACACATCTTCAGATAATAACATTTAATTATCTTTCTCCTAGAATACATGGCACAATCTTTAATCTGACTTTTTTACTGGCAATGTAAGGGTGGCAAAGCATGTCTGCAACATACTTTGGATAGGGTTAGGGTTAGCTTTGATAAAAAGTTGGATTCAGGAAATCCATTGGACCTAAACTTATTCTAATGGAATGGAACAGCCTTGTAGCTTGACTACACTAAGTATCTGAAATCCTGATTGGTCTTTCTTTGGCTTTATCTATTTATGGTTCGGAGATTTAAAACAAAGCTTTACAAGAAGAACAAATTTAACACAATAGCATCTATGAGTTCTGGCTCCTTTCTGGCATAATTTAATTATTTTGCTTTTTTGCTGCTGGGAGATAAATTAGATAAAGAAGACTGATTACAGCTATTTTCAGCAATTAAACAGCTTTGATTCCAGCAAAGGTGGATTTGATTGAAGTAATTCTATATAGAATATACTATGTTCTTTCAAAAGTTCAGTAAAATTTGTTCCAATATACTTTTTTTAAAAAAAATCTTGTTCATACAAAGCTTTTAACATGTATTGTTAAATAACATGGCCTAAGGAAGAGACAAATATACAAAGCTCTTTACGATCCTGATGAAAAGTCCTGAAAATATTTACCTTCCAAAATCACAAAGTTTTAGAACAGCTGTGTCAGGGTCCAACAAAAGATTCTGTGGTTTTATATCCCGATGACATATTCCAAAGGAATGGATATAAGCTAAACTTCGGAATAATTGATACATATACAACTGTAACATAAAAAGCAAATATTATGATCATACTTTCCATATCAAAACACTGGCAAATAGTAATTTTATAAGATTTTTATAATATTTAAAATACTATCTCAATAAGCATTTTTTCTTCATAACATACAGATTTACACATCTTACAAAACATTTTTTCACATTTCTTTTGGTACAGCAGGTATAGTTCAGATGTTCTTCAACTGCAACTTCCAGTAAGCCACAACAAGCATGGCTAATTGTAAAGAATGCTGCATTAGGGAAATCAAAGCAATTAGGTGCGTAGAAATTATCATGATACAAAAATATAAAAGTTATTTAAGCTCCCATCATTAATATGTTTTTCTCACATTGGACAAAATCTATTTATGTAACACAACCCTACTTGTAGAATATTAAGAACATGTCTTTATATTATTCTATATAACAGTATTTCATATAAGTCGTCCCCTTTGGAAAAAGCTAGCTAAATTTACCTGAAATGCAATCGAAAGGAACTTGGAATGTCTTATTCAGTGCAAACATAAAATAAATTATGGGTCTTCCTGTTTGTTGGAATGTTTTCAAACAGAAGCTTAATAGCCATTATCAACCATAATTTAGCAAACTTGTACACTAAACATGTACAACTCCTCCATTCTATGATGTATTAGGGAGGGAGGGAGGGAGGGAGGGAGGGAAGGAAGGAAGGAAGGAAGGAAGGAAGGAAGGAAGGAAGGAAGGAAGGAAGGAAGGAAGGAAGGAAGGAAGGAAGGAAGGAAGGAAGGAAGGAAGTTCTCATGAAGAGAAGGGTTAACACTGGGTAGTTAAAAATTAAGTGGGAACTAAGCCTAGTCACTTAGCAAAGGGAGAAGTGGAAACGGAAAGCCCCTGCAAACAGTTTGGAAGTATTAGAATGTTCCGAGCACAAAGGGCTCTGTCTCCATAAAAATATAACTCATGTATATAAATCACAAAGATCACTATTAAAGAGGAGTGAATAGTCTAGTAAATAGCATCAAAAGCCATTAAGTGGTCCAAGAAAAAAAGGCCCAGCATCTTTCAATCCAGGAGTAAAGGAGCACATATCAGGATGTAATGAAACATTCTGCCCCTGGGCAATAGATTATCTCCATCCCTTTTGATATTACAAAAAATCCTCAAGATCTGGTTATGTTATCAAGCTCAACCAGAGTGAAATGGCAATCAAAATGTGAGTTTGAGGAACTTACCCTTATTAAAAAAGCCCACATTAGGTGTTACCATCAGAGTCTGTTCTTTTTTATCAATTTGTACAAATGAATCCTATCCCTATAAGATATAAATCCTATATTTATATTATAGAGTATAAATAACTGAATAGAGCTGAGGAAAGTTTTTTTAATGTTCATAAGGCTGGAAAAGACTATTATGGAAGTATGAGGCTTCTATTAATCCATAGGCAGCCACATATAAAAACTCAGCCCAAGAGCAAGAGGTACAATTCTCTGAGGATCAGCAGAGGGTAATGGCAAAGGATTTGTAGATCACTTACATTATCTAATGCCAGTGCTTGTGAAGAAAATCAAGGAACAGGAGTAATGTGCATGAAGGATAACCAAGAAAGAAACATTGCTGACTAGAAAGCATATTGTTTCCGGAGGCTTCCGGTTCTGGTTCGCGGCGGTGCAGTCGAGTGAAGGGTGCCGTCCCTTTGCCTATCGAGTTTCCCCTGCCGGTAGACCCCTTAGAGGGTCGAAAAGACGTTCTGGATGAGTGTCTACCGTTGAGGAGGCTTCTCAGAGAGTTGCAGAGGAGCGGCGGCGTCCTCTGTGCACCGAGTATCTCCTCTGGGCTGACAGGGTAAAGATTGGCCAGTAAAATGGCCGATCATTTAGCTGCGCCAACCATAAGCCATAAGATCATCTAAGCAAGCAAACCCACTGTGGAAGATTCGGTGAGATTTTTTTTTTACCTCTATTTCCTTTTTTTCCCTGTGAAAAGTTTTTTCTTTCTTTCTGGAATTATTCCCCTTTTTGTTGAAGCGGCGTTTTAAATGGGGGGAGGAGAAGCTTAAGAGAAGGACGAAACTTATTTTTGTTTTAATGGCTGATTCTATTTTTGAATATTTTGGAGCCCCCAAAAAAATTCTTTTAGAGAGACTTAAGAGGCTATGTATCTGGAGAGTATTATTTTTTCTTATTTTTTATGTTTTCCGAAAAGACTGATTATTTGATTAGCTTTGATTACTGGTTGGGGGACAACTTCTGCTGAAACTACGTATCGCTCTTGCTATTTTTTTCTTTTCTCTTGGAATTTGCATAAAGGAAATAGACTAAGAAATTTGGGAGGAGATGGATATTGAGGGACTGTGTTTAAATATAGTCTCCCCCAAAAAGATAATGTCTTCAAATAAGATAAAAATGGAAGAGACCCGTTCAGACTCTATTTATAAATATATTTTGGATAAAATCTTAGATAAATGGTCAGATGACCTATAATATGGAAATGGAGGAGCTTACTTCGGAAAGTCAAGCAGATTTGCAGATACCATTTGACTTTTTGAGAGAGGAAAAACTATTAGAAGAAGAGCAAAACTTGACTAAAGAGGATTATACCAAAAAAAGGATTTCAACTAAAGTTTATGCAACCTTGAAAAAGATGGGAAATGACATTTTGGCACGAGCTTTTCAGAATGACTATAATTTTTATACCAGCCTAAGAAATTGGATAATGGGAGACCTCTTGCTCCTATGCACAGTGTGGCAGGAGACAATGGGAGAGCTATTTGCGGAACTAGAGACTCGACTATGGAAACCTATTTGGAATAAAAGGAAACCCAGAATAAGATATAAATATTAAATTTGAGATGATAATTATGGATGGTAAAGGTTTTATAGCGTTTTGGATTGTCCTGGATTTGGTTTGTGTTAAATGGGAGGCTATTATGAAATGATTTAGAATTTAATATTGAAGTATAGCAAGAATATGTGTTTTTTCTTTGTGTGTATGTTTTTTTTCTTTTTCTATTTGTGGTCTTTGTTTTGGAATGAGATGGAATTAATAATTGGAGAATTATTGAAAAAGAATAGAAATATAGTTGAGAAATGTAGGAATTTAGTGTTGGAGCTAATATCTTTAAATAAGAGAAATTTGGGGGCCCTGAAATAATTAAATAATTAGGTTAGCTTAAACTTAAATATTTGGAAAAATTAATAAAGTTTAAAACAGGATCTTTGGGATAGATAAGGAGCTTTCGTAAAAGATTATTGACTAATGAAATTTATATCTGGCAATATACTTAATGAAAATCTGTCTTAGAAATGTACTAATGAGACTCCAATAATTTAAATAGGAGCGTTGGTTTTGATTTAAGCATTTAATTTATATATAGCGATATATTAATGAATGAATTGGCTATAGGACTGTATTAATTTGATTATTATATTGATATTGAGAGGTTGAAAGTTTTTATTGATTAAGGAAATTTATATTTAGATATATTAATGAATGAATTTATTTGAATGTAATTGATTATAATATTCTACATAGATAGAGAGGGAAGTTTTAAGAAATATTGTATGAATTGTATACATATAATGTTATTGTTTTCTCTTTGTAATTGACCACCATATCTTCACGCTGGTTCTTAAGCTTCTGTTGGTGTAAAATGGAAAATAATAAAAATTGTTTATAAAAAAAAGAAAAGAAAGCATATTGTTTCCTGTCTTGTTTGCAAAAAGTATCTGAATAATCAACAGTTTACTGGAACAAAGTTCTATGGATAGATGAGACAACCATGGAACATTTTGGCATTAATGAGAAACATTATGTTTGGGGAAAAAATCATGTATTCCAGAAAAGAAGCCTCATTCAGCCAATCATCAAATGCTGTAAAGAGAAATTGCTTATAGCCGTGGTGGCAAACCTATGGCATGCGTGCCAGATTGGACACACAGAGCCCTTTCTGTCGGCACGCATGCCAGAGGGACACTCCTCTCCCCGTCTCCACGTGCGCCTGACTAGTGGGAACTGGAGAGGGCACGGAAACTGAATCCAGCAGCGCTGTTGCGGGAACAGCCGTGAGAGCTGGGCAGGGAGAGGGGTACCTATAAAAGCAGGTTTTGGCGGGAGTGCAGCGAGAGAGCGAGCAGACGGCCTTTGGAAGCGATGGTGGGTGTGAGTTTGGAGAAGACAACTAGGATGCGGTGTCCTTTTGCACTTTGCAGAAGGCTAGTGGGGGAAGGATACGTAACTTTGGACTTGGGAGGGAGGAAGGCCGGGCCCGCCAGCGCCGCTGGGCAGATGCGCGGCCAGGCCTGCCCAGGTGATGTCGAAGTCAGCCAGCTCTTCTGTGGGAATGTGGGGGGAGGGGGAGAGTGGCTACCCTCAAGCACCACGCCTGCCTCCCTTTGGGCTCCCTCAGCCTCTCCCCCCCACTCCAGGCTGGGGCTGGTCAGATTCCCCCTGTGGGCAGCACTGCGCCTGTCCCCGGCCAGCCCTCCTCCTCCATCCTCCTTCTGCAGGCGGACCGTGGTTTTCCAAGCCGGGCAGTGCCTTTCACCGCACACGTTCTCAGGCCGAGGAGCCGGGCAGCCACGGCTCTCGCTCCCCTCCGGCCTCCATCTGCCCCCTGGCTGGCCAGTCACAGGCTGGAGTGCACGGGATGGCAGCAGCCGCCCTGGGACGAGGGGTAGGCAGGGTGGGTGCTCACGATATCTGCAGGGGAAAAAGTGGCGTGGAGGCTCCGCGGCCAGTCCAGTCCAGCCCCAGCACAGAAAGCGAGGCAGCAGCCCCACGTGCGTCCCCGTGCGCGAGTGTGCCCCCACCCTGCCAGGCAAGCAGATAGAGGCTGGAGGGGAGCGAGAGCCTCGGCTGCCCACCTGTGCTCTTCTGCCACAGATGCCGCAGCTCCACTTGCCTGGCAGGGCAGAGGCGCATTCGCGCATGGGAGACGCACATGGGGCTGCTGCCTCACTTTCCGTACCATGCCTGGACTGGATGCGGAGCCTCCATGCTGCTTCTTCCCCTGTGGACACCAGGAG